TGTCAGGGCTCTGTGGATTCCTCCAGCTCAGCTGTATTTGAAACTCAGCCTACTGGTGTTCTTCAGGAGCTGGGGCCAAGCTCCACAGCATCTGAGCTTTTCCTGAGACCTTCCACCTGCACCTCCTGTCACTCTGAGTTTTCTGGGCTTGTCAGTTTTTGCTGAAGCATCAAACTTGTTTATTTGCAGGGCAGCTTTATACCCTGCCCCTGGCCTTTCAACACAGGTGAACTTGTCATTGCATAACATAATGCAGCTGTTAAGAGCAGGCCCTGGAGTCTGGCTGCCTGGGTTAAAATTCTAGCTGTACTGCTTACCAGCTGTGTGCCCTAAGGCAAATTATGTAACCTCTCTGGGCCTCAGGAGCCTCATCTGTAAAATGGAGATACACAGTAATAGGAAGGTCAGAAAAGATAACTCCCCTAGGACCTGAAGGACAAAGAAAAGAGAAGAGGAAAGAGAATCACGGGCAGGATGGAACAGCATGCACACAGGCCCTATGGCAGGAGGAGGCAGAACAATGACAGGAGATTACAGAAAGCCAGGGACTGTGGGGATACTATAGCTTGGCTTGCTCAGCATCTGTTGTAATGCGCCTTCCTGTACTAGAGGTATAAAGAAGCTAGACTTCTGAAGCCAGGCATCCAGATGAGGTTTGGGTTCTGTCCATCAGATGCACCATGGATATTCACATTGTAAGGCAGAGGTCATACTTCTCTGATTTGCAGGCAAGCAGAGTTATGGGGTTCTTTTTCTGCAGCAGCTATTGCAGAGGGCTTGAGTGTCTAGACCCTTGCTTGTGATTGTTGGGGGAAAGCGTGGGGCACCCATTCTCTCGGCAGGGATCAGGGCAGAGTATAGTTCTGGAGCCAGAAAAGATGGTGGCGGGGTCCAGATTCTCCAGCTTCTTCATCATGGCAGAGGCTGTGGGGTTACTCTAGGGATTGTTTCTGGAAGCTCAGCCTAGAGCCAGCCCCTCCAGACCTCCCTCTAGTGTTATAAGCACCTCTCCCTGTATTAAGTCCATTTCTGTTTAAATGAACTAGAGTGATTTTTATGATCTGAAGCCAAGACTGACTTTAGTGGATTAAAGAGGTGCATGGATTCTTTCCATCAAGAAATGGAGCTTATTTCCTCTCCCCAACAGCTGGACTAGCCCTGTGTCTTCTTAACCAAATGGAAGTGGAGGTATGATACTCTCTCAGTTCTAGACCTAGCCTTGAAGTTAAGAGCTGGAAGTTTCTGTTTTTTACCTTCTGGAATGCTTGCTCTTGAGACACCACCTCTCAGACTCCAGCTGGCATTGTGAGAATCCCAAACCACATGGAGAGGCCATATGCGGCCTCGAATCAACAGTCCTGGTTAAACTCCCAGGCGACAGCCAGCATTAGCCAGCAGTCATGTGAGTGAATGTCTCAGAGGCCCAGCCCAGTCACGCCTCCTGATAACTTCAGCCCAAGAAGTACCACACAGCTGAGCCCAGTCAAGCCCAAAAATCATGAGGGAGAATAAACAGTTGCTGTTTTAAGGCACTAAATTTTGGGGTGATTTTTTACACAGCAGTCGGCAACCAAAATACTGACTGATACAAGCAGAGGGAGTATGAGGAAGTGAGATGAAACTGGAACAGTCAACAGGAGTCGATTATGTGGAACCTAGTAGACCATGGTTAGGAGTTTGTTATCCAAACAGCAGTAGAAAACTGTGGAAAGGTTTCAGGTAGAAAGGTGACACGATTGCATTTACCTTCCATCTGGATCAGCCTGCATGTGGGGTGAAGAACTGACTGGAGGGGAGCCAGAGAGATAAGCAGCCCGGAGATAAAATTATAATACTGGGTGATGGCTATGGGACTGCTGGTGATCTGTGTGGGCTTCACCTGACTGGGTCCTTCTACCCTCTGTGCCCACATTCCTCACAGTGCCTCATACTGCTGGGGAGTCAGTGGAAAGAGTTCAAGTGTTAGATACATTGGCTGTTAATCCCAGATTCACAGATTCAAATACTTCCTGTATTTTTATTTTTACCTACTGAGTTACTTTGGGCAAGTCACCTAATTTCTCTGGACTTCAGTCAAATGGGGTCAATAATATTGTAGAATGCTCATAGTAATTCCATCGGTTTATTGAACAGTGCCTGGCACACAGTAGACAATAAATAGTTGCTGAATGTATGAATTTAATGGGCTGGAATTGATTGGGTACAAGGAAGAAATGGCCTTATTTTTCTACTTTGCCTGCAAACTTCTGTCAAGGTTAAGTTTCCTCTCTTTGACTCCTGATGATAATCAGTCAGATCCATGACTTTCTGGTCTCTTTTGGTCAAACCAACAGTTTCATTCTGGTAATTAAAACTTACTTCCAGTAGCCAGAAAGTCCACTCTGACCCAGTGAAATATAACATTTTGATTTCCTATTCTGTTCAAAGCTCACACAAATTCCTCCTTCAATGAATACCTACTATGTGCCAGACCCTGTGCTGGGGGCAGGTAGAGTTGCCAGTTAAAATACAGGAAGCCCCATTAAATTTGAATTCCAGATGAATTAGTGAATAATCAGTTTGTATATATATGTCCCAAATATTGCATGGAACAATGATAGTAAAAAGTATTTGTTGCTTATCTGAAATTCAGATGTAATTGTACTTCCTGTATTTTTATTTGCTAAATTACAGCACTGAAATGCCTTGGCCTTTGTCCTGTGGAAGTATGAGCCTTCTCTGCCTCTGCCAAAGGCATTTGACTCTAGGTGAGCAGACAGGTACAGGAATCCCTTTCCCACTATTGTCCCCTTGGAACCTCTGACATTAGCTATAAGGGGGAAGACTGACCGTCTATCGGTGAGATTTGAGCAGCCCTCCTTTGTCCATTTGATTGGCCCCACTGCCTAGATTTCTACAGGGCCTGCAACAGTCCTTTGAAAACATTTCTTTTCAGATGGTTAGGAGAGAGCATTTGCCTCTGGGAGGGTTAGAGCCACATCAGCTAGCACTTCCTGTGACATCTGATTGGAGTAGGAGTTGCTGAGACAGGATTCACTGACGGTTTACCGGAAGGGGGTACAGTGCTGCCCTGAGGCAGGAAATGGCCTGAGAAGGGTGGGAGAGCCTTGCTTGGGGCCTGGGCTCAGCTCCTGGCCGAGCAGGATGCTCCCTAATCGGCTCCCAGCAAGGGCTGGAGGTAAAGCAACTGGAGCAGGGCCTGGGTGGATAAAGAAAGGCGAGGCACGAGAGAGTCAGAGCTGGGGAGGGGGGCAGGGGCAGCCTAAAGAGTATGGATTTGGGGCAAGGCCCTGTCCTCTCAGGCCTCAGACCTGCCATCTCAGTGTGGGCAGTTGGGGAAGTGCTCTGCATGAGGCAATATACCAGACCTCCCTGTCCCTTTAACTTGTCACTTTCTGCTGGGTCCTGCAGTTTCCCTGCCAGGTATGTGTCTCTGTCTGCCACCCTCTGCTACCATGGACACCGGGGGCCCAGGCCAGGGCAGGCTGCATGCCCTCAGGGGCACACCCTCTCTCCCACTTGTCCTCAGGCCCTGACACTGTTTTTTCTTCAATTGAAATATAGTCGATATACAATATTATATTGGTTTCAGGTGTACAACATAATGATTCAACAATTATATGCATTACTAAATGCTCACCACAGACGTATAGTTATCATCTGTTACCATACAAAGATACCACTATAGTATTGACTATACTCTCTATGCTCTAGTTTCATCCCTGTGACTAATTTATTTAATAATTGGGCATTTGTACTTCTTTATCCCTGTCACCTATTTCACCCATACCCTGCATCCTCCTCCCCTCTGGCAACTATCAGTCTGTTTTCTGTGTTTATGAGTCTATTTGTGGTTTGTTTGTTTGTTTTTTAGATTCCACATACAAGTGAAATCTCTGACTTATTTCACTTAGCATAATACCCTCTAGATCCCTCCATGTTGTTGCAAACAGCAAGATTTCATTCTTTGTTATGACTGAATAATATTCCATTGTGTGTATGTACCACATTTTCTTTATCCATTCATCTACCAATGGACACTTAGGTTGCCTCCATTTTTGGCTACTATAAATAAAACTGTGATAAATGTAGGAGTGCACTATCTTTCTGAATTAGTGATTTTGCTTTCTTTGAGTAAATTCCCAAAAGTGGAATTGCTGCTGACCTTGGTTTTCTACCCAGAGGCAATAACTGGGTACAGGGGAAGGCAAGGAAGAAAAATGACCCACTCTCCTGTTTCTCGCTGCTCCTCACCTTGGTCCCTGCAGGTGATCATTAAGCCTTTTGGGGATTCTGAGTACAAATTGGGTTATTCCCAGCTCTCCCCACTGCCAGTTCAGAGTTCAGAGTTCTTGTTTCCCTAAGTTGCAACCCATTGATCCGATTTTCTGCCTTCGAAATTTTGTCAGTGGTTTATCCTCCTCTTCTGTGCTAATTATCTTTGTGGTTTCATGCCTTTAAAAAAATCCCTTTTGCCTTTGTGTTAGTGGAGTGCCAGGTGGGAGCAGAGCTGTGTGTCCATCTGTCTTATTTAGCTAGAATTCATAGTCAATCTAATGTAATCTTCACAACAATACCAAGGAGCCAGTATTATTACCCTCATTTTCTGAATGAGGAAACTGAGGCTCAGAGGGACTGTCTGCAGAGCTAACAAGGGGCAGGATGTGGTACCACCACAGCCTTCTGTCTCCAACGCTGTTCTCACCTTGCGCAGCTCTCCTGGCAGTGCTCAGAGGAGGTTGTGCCCTCCTCACCTCCACAAAACTTGGCTTCTTATATAGTAAAGTCCCAGTTTGCCAGGACGCCTTGGGGTGATCATGTTTTCCTCCACGTGAGTATGTCCTCTGACGGTGCCTCCTGGAGGAGCTGAGGCAGGACGAGAGGATTAACTGTTGTCAAATGCAATTAACAACTGGAAATGACCTTAATGCCCAACAATAGCGGACTGGCTAAAGAAATAGGGTATACTATTTTAAAAACACTTTCTGGCTCCAGAATGGTGAGGTAGAAGAATGTTTAATTTTGTGGGGAAATGCTGCTGACAAAAATGCTCCTGAATTGGAGAAGCACATTTTCTAATCAGTAGGTCCAGTGTAACAACAACACACGGATTTAATAACAAAGTAAGAAAGAAGTAATAAACATGTACCCACAACACTTGGTCCTTGAGTACAGATCGCAAGCCAGCATCCAAAGTCAAAAGGAGTTCTCTCTCCCCCAGCGTGTGGGATCAAGTGCTAACGCCTTAGTCTCTTCCTCTTCCCGCCAACCTTCCCATCACTCATGAACTTGACGTCTACAGTTCATTTCCTGTGGAAAAGAAAGTGCATCAGCTGCTTCCCCAACTCCATCTCCACCTGGGGTTTAGCGAATCCCTGCTCCTGGAACACTATGGGTACTGAGAACATTTTAAATGGTCATAGTTTTCTTTACTTTCAATGTGCGTCCCTTGAAAGGCCCCCCGCAACCCCCAACACACCTTTGTTTCTCTTTGAGGGAGAGTAGGGGTGAGTGAATTAGCTATAGGGAGGGAAATGGCTGCTAGTTGTAATACTGGAAGGAAAATTCCCCCACTGCAGACTAAATGAGGAAAATGGATCCAAAATCTAGCCACAGACTATTTTATGAGACACTGAATTTCCTTTCCTAAAGATCTTCTGAACTAGGATGCAGATTTATTTATTCAGGATGCCTCAGAATTGTGAGTTTCAAAATGAGGATCGTTAGCCATGAAAGCTGTGCGGTTCAGTGTAGGAGACACTAGCCACAAGGGGCTCATGTGGCTAGTTTGAATTGAGATGTGCTGTAAATGTAAAATACACACTAGATCATGAAGACTTGGAATGTAAAAAAGAACAGAAGCTATTTCATTACTGATTTTAAAAAAATCGTAATTGAAATGATAATATTTTGGGTATGTTGGGTTTAATAAAATATATTAAAGTTAATTTCAACCCTAAAATTTTTTCTTTAAGTTAAAAACTTTTTTAAAGCGCTGTGGTCTCAACACAGCACATATTATTATCTCATTTAAGCACTAAGTTCCAGCCAATGCAGATGTATAGAAAGTTCTGCTCACCATGGTCACTCAGGGCGTCTGGCTGCGGGAGCAGCTGCCATCATGACCACTGTCAATTACCTTGCCAGAGAGGAAGCCAGACCTCTGGGGGATGTGGCACTGGCAATTCAATGTTCCGGCCTAAAAATGACACCCCTCTGTTTCTGCTCACAGCTCACTGGCCAGAACTGATCCCATGGTTCCACTGAACCACAAGGGGGCGGGGCAATCCTAGGAGGTGCCTCAATGGCAGAGAGCCAGAAATATTTGACAAACAGGTCAAATGACTAGCTTGGTTTCTATCAGCTTTTTTATTCCTTTAAAATATATAGATGAGAATAATAGAAAAAGTAGAAGGGAATAAAATAGGAAATACCAGAGGGCATCACAAAAATTTTAAATTATAGTTGAGGCACAATAAATATTTGTGGAATGATGAAAATTCTTTATGAAAAGGGATCATAGCCATAATGTCTCTTTTGCTTTATCACTAACAAAATGCTTGCCCACTGATTATCTCACGTAGGGTATGATGGGGCCTTGTTATGGCTGAAGAAACTGGCTCAGAGAGGTGCATGATCTCTCTAGGTGACCCGGTCAAATGGCAGAGCTGGGACTTGGGACAAGTAAGATAACTGATGGTACTCCTTCAGATCTCTCTTTCTCTTCCCTTATTATTTTCAACCTCAAATCTTAAACTTGCTATGTTTTACTTCTTTAAATAATACTAACATTTACATATACTGAATTTAGTACTATTATCATTCGTTTTTGTAACTACCGAAACTGAGGCTGAAACGGATGAGGTGACCTGCCAACAGTTACATAACAGCCGTGAGGCAGGATTTGAATTCATATGCAGGTCTGTGAGGTTAAAGGCTGTGGCCACAATTGCTCTTTTGCCACTCTGGCTTATTGATCTGGTTCTACAAAAAACTTGAATGGCATAATGAATAAACTTTGAGGGAACTTCCTATGATTGTTTGGTCTGGGTGGTCTTCACCCAGCAACAACTGCCAGATGCCTTGGGGCAGTCACAAGTTGGTGGCCTTGTGCAATCAAAGCAGCTGATTGAGGTAGAAGGATTCGGTATTCAGGGACTTATAGACCCAGGTGTAAATCCCAGTTCAGGGACCTACTGTTTGAACTTTGCCTTTCTATGCATGAGTTTCCTCTTCTGTAAATTAGTAATAATACCCACTTCACCTAATGTCTGACACAGTCTCCATTTGCCCCAGTTTATTCTCTTTGCACTATCCTCCACTGACTTATGAGGACCCCTTCTTACCATTCAATCCCAGAGGGACAGATACTTTGAGACCCTGCATAGAATCTGGAGCTTCAGTAACCCATGGACATTAAAAAGCAGACAAACAAAAACACTCTGATGTTAACAAGTAGAACCAGATGACTAAATTATGCCAAGGTTACATTTCAAAGATACTATTTCATTTCTGTCTTTATGGGGCTTGATGTAAGCTTTTGTAAATGTACTTTTATGAGATACAGAGATATTTATTTTACATGCCCTTTAAAAAGTGCCAGTACCATAAATAATAACTAACATTTACTTCCTGTTCTGTTATATGCTGGGAATTCTGCTAGACATTAAACATGGATTATTTCATTGAATCCTCACAATGTCAGTGAGGTAAATGTAGGACTCTGGAGGGAGAAGAATCTTGACCACTTACTATGCTTGTGGAAGTGACTTCAGCCGGGATTCTCAAGTCCTGGGATCCCATACCTGCTCTCCTCTAACTACAAGTTACTTACAAGCTCTGGTCCTTAGATTCCACATCTGCAACATTCTAACATGGAGCTGAAGGATCTAGAACCCCCTGGAAAAGAGGGCCTTGCCTAAGCAGTGCTTAGCACAGTGCTTACCACAATACAACCACATAAACAGCACTATTATTATTATCCAGATAGGGACCATATCTTTTGAAATGAAAATTGGTGTGTACAGTCTGACAAATGAGAGTTCTCATAGGGACCATGGACAGAGTGTTTGAAATTGGAGCGTCCCTGGAAACTGAATTACAGAGTTTCAGTTTGGGTTGCTGGCTTGCTTGCCACTAGGCAAAGAAGCAGCACTGATTCCATTTGTCTTTTATAACACTGGATCATTTTTGCGGAGTGCTCACTATGTACCACACTCTGTGCTAAGGTATTTACAACGATCAACAACTTCAGTCCTCGAAACCATCCTATGTGGTGGCCACTGTGATCCTCTCCCATTTCACAGATGAGGAAATGGTCTTCAAGAGGTGAGCAATTTCCCCAAGATCTCACTGCTGGTAGAAAATTGAGTCCAGACTCAAAGCCGGTATTTTGACTCCAGTATCCTCATTCTTACACCCTGCTTTCCCTTCTCCAGCATTCTGAGGATTTAGGTTTGGGACATAGGTGAAGAATAAATCCAATTCAGCCCCTGCTCACCTGGAGGATAAGTGCAACATTTGCTTCAAGCTCTTTATAGCCAGTTACTGCTTTTAATCCTCACTTCATCTTTTTGAGACATGTATTACTATTGATGCCATTTAACAGTTGGAGATACTGAGGCTCAGAGAAGTCAGAGAAGTTGCCCAAGATCAAAAAGAAAATGTGTAGCAAAGCCAGGATTCAAACTCAGGCCAGTCTGACTTCAAAGCCTTGGTCTTAAGCCAGGCTTTCTTACTCTTGGCACTGCTGACATTTGGGGCTGTTTTCTGTGACAACAAAGGGCGCCTGCACTGTGCATTGTGAGATGCCCAATAGCATCCTTGACCTCTATGCACTAGATGCCAGTATCACTCCTCTCCCAACTGTAGCAACCAAAATTGTTATTGCCAAATGTTCCCTGGGGGCCAAATTGCTGCCGACAGAGACCTCTGGCTCCTGGCTGACTAGGCCACCTTTGATGCAAGGTTGGGGGCTCAGGCAGAAGAGTTGGGGCAGGTGTTCCAGGCTCTGTGTCCCTGATATTGGCCCCCACTTCACAGTGAAGTACTGACTGGGTCCTGCAGCTGGAGGGGGCCCAGGACAGTTGCGGGGCCTTTTCTCTCCTGATGAACCTGGTGCACTCTCACTGGGTAGGTCCCCAGGCGTCAATGTCTCTCCTGCCCAGGGCTGAATTTGTTTGGAACCCATTAAGGAAGCTGCCCGATGATTATCTCTTGGCTAGAACTTGGCTTTATCTCTAGTCTTAGATTCTAAACGAGACTAATGACCATTTGAGATTCAGATTCCACACCAACTGCCCAGTGCCTTCTTGATCAGAAGGCGGGAAGCCCCTTCTAGCCTGGGTCACTGCTCCCAACTCAACAAATGCAAGTTAGAGACCGGGAATCATTGCTGATGTCTCTGTTTCAGTGTCCAATTTCAAGTCATCACCAAGTCCTTTCTATTTTGGATTTTAAATATAATTTGGATCCTAAAGTCCTGTCCATATCTCACTTCTCCAGTCTAAGCCACCATAGAGTATTACAATATCCTCTGAAAGGCACCCACTGTGTTCACTCCTGCCTTCCATTCTGTTTTTTACTCTGTGGCTAGAGTAGTCTTTATAAAATGTTAATCTGAATCCACCTGCCTACTTACCTCTACATACACATTCCTACTCCTGCCCTAAATCATTCAATGACACTCCTATCTTTCCCCATCACTCTCATTATTTCAGACATATTGGCTTTTCTGTTCTCAAAAGCACCATGTTCCCTCCACCCCAGGGCCTTTGTATATACTGTCCCCTCAGCCTCGGTGTTTTCACTATCCCTCTTGCTGTGGTATCCCCGCTCATCCTTAGGGGAAGTCTTTCCTGAACGTTTCTCATGTGAGTCTGGGTCCAGAGCCATTGTTATGTATTTTTATAGCAGCATTTCTCTCCCTTCCTCCCTCTTATCTCAGCTTGTGTACTTATTTGGGAATTGCTTATTTGTTTAAACTCTTATTCTGCATGAGACTGTAAGCTCCAGGATGGGAACAATGTGTCTATTTTTGCTCACCATTATATCCCTAAAGTCTAGTATATTGCCTGGAACATAGCAGATGCCTTATGCATACTTGTTGAATGACTAAATGAGCTCATATAATCCTCCCAACAAGCCTGTAAAAATTTTGCCTGCTGCCGGAGCTCTTCCCTGCTCTGATCTCCTCTAGCGCCTGTTCTCATGGCTTTATAAGACGGAGAGCAACTGACTCTGAAAGACATACAGGGCTCTGGAGCCTGACCAACTGGGTTCACATCTCCCTTCTGCCACTTGCCAGTGTGACATTGGGCAAGTTCCTTAACATCTCTGTGCTGTAGTTTCCTCTTCTGTAAAATGTTAATAATAATAGTACCTTCTCATAGGGTGGTTGTAAGCATCAAATAAGTGATCCTCTATAACATTCTTTTCTAAGGGCTTGGCACAGAGGAAGTACCCCGTTAATCTTAGTTATTCATATTATTATCAGAAAGAGCATAGATCCTGGGATTAGATGACTGGTTTCCTCTCCTATTTGCAAGTTATTCCCTGTGTGATTTTGGACAAGTCATGGCACACCCCTAAGCCTCGGTTTCCCCATCTGTTAAATATTTCAGAGGGGGCCACTGTGCGGTGCGGTAGGATGAGAGTGGAGCACTCAATCCAGTGTCAGCGCCCAGTAGTTGCCTTCCTGACAGGCTCAACAGGCCCCTATTGCATTTCAGACAAGAAGCTCCCAGACGTAGGCTTCACGTCTGCCTTATTTAGGGCTCTTGTCTCAGCCCCCTGTACCTGGCACATGGTAGGTGTTCCATGAGAAGTTCTTTACTGACTGAATGATTCAGTAACACAGGGGCCACGCTTCGCTCCTCTTGGTACCCAACTGGAGACTAGTGCAATACCTAGCATCTAATTGCAATAAATGTTTGTTGACAGAATAGATTTTTTAAAATGGCCATTCATTTCTGTTCCCAGTCCCACTTGAGTATCTGAATGAAACTGAAATTTGTTAACTTATCCTAAATCTCTCAAGCCTAGTATTATCTGTAAAATGAGGCTATTAATAATATCCACTTCACAAGAGTGTTCTGACAAGTACATGAAGAGATACGTTTTTGGCATGTGGAAAATGTTAGTTCATTATTATTATTCCCTTCCCTGAGCCTCAGTTTCCTCATCTGTGAAGTGGGCATCCACCCATTCATTTACTCATTCATTACTTAACAAATAAAGTGTCCCTATGCAGGGCATTATAATTAAGACCTAAGGCAGCTAACGAGATGAACAAGCCATGGTCCCCGCTGTGAGGAACTGCATGTGTGCTGTGGAACAGCAACTTGGCAGTACAAATCCACTGAGAAAAGACCCACAGTGTGTGTGAGGTCGATGGGTGCTAGAGTTGTGGGGGTGGGCGTGGTGGGTGGGATGAGGACCTCGAGTTTCAGCGAGCTCTCTAAGAAGACTGCAAAATGCTGTGGTATGACCAACTCATTGTAATCACCAACATGATGTGGGTTTGAAATGGAGTTGTCCCCTCTGGGCTCCGGTTTTTGCAGCGAGTCTGCCAAATGTGCATCAGTCCTGCTGCAGCCCCACTTTCTACCCTGGCTCCCGGCACATGAGAGAATGGTCCAGGTGTCACGACCAGTTCAAAGAGACACATCCTTCTGAGCCTGTCTTGCCTTCCTTCCCTTCTCCTGGGTCCTACCTTCTCAGGGGACTGAACAGTGATTTCCCTACACTCTGAATGTGGAACACTGTGGGTGTCTCCAACAAATGCTGGGTTCCTGCCTGCTTCTCCAAAGACAAGCCTGCCCCTTCCCAAGGTGGACCCCATGAAGAGATGCTAGGGTATTGGGGATTGGAAGAGGTCAGGCCTCTGGGCTACCGTATCCAAGCAGATAATATGCTTGTCTCTGAAGTTCACAGCTGGTTCCAGGGAACTGACTCCTGCTAATCAAACTCATGGGAGACTGAAATATCTAAATTGAAATTTTATATTTAAGGTAGATGTAGTTAAATGTACATATTGGGGTTTGGAGGGACTTTTTGTCTGCAGTGACCAAAATATTTGCACCTGTTACCTGGAGCACTCCTTTGTTTCCAACTGAAAGAAATGTACATGCCAAGGGTATTTAAGTATCAGGGGAGGGTCTGCTGTCAGAGACCTGCAAAAGGTTAGAAGGATGTCTGAGTCCCAACAGCCCATCCATAGCAGGCCTCAGGGAGGAAGCAAGATTTACGAGGTGAGAGCCCGCCTGGGCTGCTTCTTCTGTTGGGCTTAGGCCTCCCTGCAGTATTTTCTGTCTCGTCAATGCTGCATTTCATTTTAAATTGCAGCTGAAAGCAGATATTTTCCCTCTTGCCTATTACACCTCTTAATTTGTCTCTCCCTCTGCTGTTATTTGTCTCTGTAAAGTGTTTTGCATGAAAGACCCACACAGCACAATTTTGCTTTGCCCTGGGTTAGGCTTAACAGGGAGGGAAGGCACAGGGAGACTTAAGTTTAAGGAGGAAGGTGTGAAGGCTTTGGGGTGGAGACACGTTTCTGGGAATATATACCTGGCAGTGTGTACATATGCGTGTTTTCGGACAGTTCTGCTATATGTCTGTAGGTATGTGTGTGCACATGTCAGTATTTGTATTCATATATGTCTATGTATGCTTTGGTATGATCACTTGGTGTCCATACCTAAATTGTGTGCAAGGATGCACCCACGTGAAATCTCTGCACATATATCTATGCAGAGGAGCGCACATAAACACACGCAGGCATATAGGTACACATGTCACACGGCGTGTGTGGTCTTCTGTGCTCGCACCACTGCAGTTAGCATCTCAGCCTGCCCCACCGAGGGGCCCTGGCCGGGTTTGGGGCTGCGGGAACAGGAAGGCAGAGCAGTGGTCTGCGGGGCTCCAGTGGAACACTGCCTTAGCTCGGTCCACCCGCGGCCACAGCACCCTGGCTTGGCTCGGTCTCCTCTTGCTCACAGCCTGCCACAGCAGCACCACCTTGGATCCCGCAGAAGCTCTGGGAGCTCCAGGGCAGGCCCCCAGCTCCCTGCCAGTCCTCGACTGGCACTGAGGACTGAGAGAGGTTACCAAACACAGCCAGGGCCGCCTGACTATCAGGGTCTCCTGGCCCCTCCGGGGGACCAACAACTGGAGTTGCGCTGGTGGAAAGGGGCTCTGGGTCACTCCCAGTCCAGCAAACGCTGGCCACTAACCAATGGGCGACTGCAGCCCAACGGGGATCCCTCCAAGGCAGCCAATGACCTCGCTCCGCTCTCCACCCCGCCCGCGCCAACCCCGCGCAGCTGGACCATTGGTGCGGGCGGAATGGGGGGGGAGTGTGCGCGGCGCTGGCCACTTGGGGGAGGAGGCGTGGCTTGGAGTGCAGTCTTCGCTCCCACCCTGGCTTAGGCCCCGCACTCCCTACCCCAGCCGCTAGGCCATTGGGCCGGCTGCGGCGCCGCGGTGGTGGACGGCGGGGCGCGCGCAGTGGGCGTGGTCGGCGGGCGGGGCCGGCGGGAGGCGGGGTCCGGGCGCTGTCTCGGTAAAAGCCCGGGCTGCGGCGGCGGCGGCGTCCGGGCGGGTGTGCGCGCGTGTGGGGCGCAGGCTCGGCGGCGGTGGCAGCGGCTCAGCCTGCGGTGGCGGCGAGGACGCCAGCTGCAGCGGGAGAGGAGCAGCCGGGGCTGAGCGCTCCGCGGACCCGGCAGGCGCCAGGAACAGGTGATCCCAGCGGGTTGCCAAGCCCGACCGAGTTGGCGGGGCGGGAGCCCGCACTCCCGGGTGCAGCTGCAGCCGCCTCGCCGCCGCCGGTCGCGGACGGCTCCCGGCTCCGGACGGGGCTTGGGTGTCCCTCCGCTCTCGGGGGCCCAGGAAGCCCTCGGCTCCCGCAGACTCAGAAGTGACTGCTCCCTCTCCGACGCCTGCTTCCCCGCGGAGCAAAGTTGTGGACGTGTCCTCCTAGCCGAGCCCGGGCGCTGTCGCGACCCGGCGGGGTCGGTGCGCTCTCCGAGAGGCGCTGACACGCCAACCCGCCACCTCCTCGCCCCCTGAGTCTGCCCTCTCTGGAAGCTGCTTCTGAGGCTGAAACTTTGGGCCAAGGGGCTAAGGGCGGCTGGGCGCGGGGACGAGGCCTGCGGGCGCCCCTCCGCGCGGACAGTCTGGGCGCCGCGGACGGCATGTGACGGCCGGGCGGCGGCCGCAGGCTGGAAGGCGCGGGTCCCCGCCGCTGCGAGGAGGGACTGCGCGGCGGCTGGAGGGCAAGCTGCGGCGCGCGGCTGACCGTTGCGGGCCCGGGCCTCGAGCCGTGCCGCCCGGCTCGCCCGGGCCCGCCGAACCGCTGCGCCCCGCCTCGGCGCGGGGGGACTCACTCCAAACTCCCTGAACTAAAGGGGCGGTCCCCGAATTGGCACAACTCTCAGGGGCCCTCACCCCAGGTGGAGCCCCTCGACGACCTCCCCGCGCCGACCCCCAGCTGGCAAGTGCCTGGTCTCCGAGGGCCTCCGAGGCTGGCAGTTGCTGACTGGCCCCAGCCCCGTCCCAGGCCACGATGCTCATGAGGAAAGTGCCCGTGTTCGTCCCAGCCTCCCCGTGGGGGCTGCGGCTGCCGCAGAAGTTCCTCTTCCTTCTCTTCCTCTCGGGCCTCGTCACCCTGTGCTTTGGGGCCCTCTTCCTGCTGCCCAACTCCTCTCGCCTCAAGCGCCTCTTTCTGGCCCCCCGGACCCAGCAGCCCGGCCTGGAGGTAGTGGCCGAAGTCGCCGGCCATCCTCTGGCCCGCGAGCAGGAGTCGCCTCCCAACCCTGCCCCCGCTGCGCCAGCCCCGGGCGAGGACGACCCGGGCAGCCAAGCCAATACCCACCGCAGGAAAGGGTGGCTCCGGCGCACCCACCCCACCTGGCCACGCGAGGAGGCCACGGCGGCCCGGAGCAGCGGCATCGCGGCCCCCAGACCCCAGGAGGAGAGCATCCCCTTTAGCTTTGACTTCAACGCGTTCCAGAGCCGTCTCCGCCATCCGGTCCTGGGGACTAGGGCAGAGGAGAGTAATGAGCCCCAGAGCCTCATTCGAACCCAGAGGGAGAAAATCAAGGAGGTAAGAACTCTTCTCACCGCTAAAACAAAAGACTCTGTTGTCTTTCCGTCCATTTCCCCTGGTCCCACACACTCCCGGGCCCTGGTCTACTCTGGGCCTTCCAGCTACACTGCACCCTCCTGTCTCCCAAACTTTCCACCTTCCCTTCTCCCTGAGCACTTCCCACTCTGCTCAGTTAATCATCCCCACCCCTGACAGATGGTAGCTGAATCACCTAACCAACTTTTTCCCTAACCCCCAGGCTATGGATTTTCCAGTCCGGCTCTCAGCCCAGGTGGTCTTTGCTCTGTCCCTGTGTGAAGTTGTTAGTAAGATTTTTGTGGAGTTGCTAGTAAGGTTCATTAATGGACACCTTCTTTGCTTGCACTGGGCCAAGGGCCACATTCTTTCTCCCTGTGTACCTTTAAGTTCTGACTTCCCCCAAACCCTGTAGGATCTGTTAACTGGAAATACAGGATCTGGGGGGGTATTTGGGGTCCTGGGGGTATTTTGTAACCTAGCCAGCAACCTACAAGCCAGAGGATGTTGTGCCTTCTTACTGTTTCTATTGAGCTTTGAAACAATTGTACCTAATTGCATGTGATGCAGGAAGGAATGATCAATAAGACAGTGGTAATGTTACAGAAGCTGGGAGGTTATTGGCTTAATGAAGCAGGTCTTGAACTTGTTCCATGTAGGGATTATATCAGGGAGGGGTTTCAAAGGATCACTTTGAGTCTGAATCTTAGTTTAAGAAACCAAAAGCAAATGCAGCCTCACCATGAATTGAAAACTGTTGACAAATGCCACTGGTAACTAAGTATTCTGCTTTTACCACCATTAGAGCTGCCTGCATGAGGGTTTTGCCCCCAGTGCAGAGGGGGCTGCAGTGACTCCCCCAGGCCACGAGGGGGCTGTGGGCAAGCTGTGGGCCAGGGTCTCCTCCCTAGAAATGTGAGGATGTTCCCCCTTCCCTGTGGACCCAGCAGGAAAGGGCTGCTTCTGCCTGGACTTCTCGGTTTACTGCAAAGGAGTCAGCATGTCTGCCCTGATTTCCAGGGAAAGCAGCCAGTGGGGTCAGAATCTGCCCTGCCAAGACCTACTCAGAGCCAGTGGCCATCTCAGCTGTCCTCCTCTGCTTGTCTGGACTATCCTCCCTCCCAAAGCCCACCTCTCCCTGACTTCTTGTATCTGCTGTTTCTCAGTTGTTCTATGCTAAGTCCTACTTGGAGACTCTGTCTTAACTAGCAATCACAGGACATTTAGTGATGTCAAGATAGGAAACCACAAAGATGAGCCCTTGTTGTGTACGTGTATGTTCATGCTCTCTGTTTCCAAATTCTTGTTGAAATCTCAGAGGGTAGTTGAAGGCTGGAACTTGCAGTGGCTAAGGAGGGGACATCATTTCTCTCCTTTTGGTTAAGGAACTGTGTTATTGATTATGCACCTGAACCAGCCACAGCACCCTTTCTCAAAGCTGCCTCTGAACACATTAGGCCTTTCTGCCCTTTCAGATCTCCTCAGAGGTCAGTAACTCTTACATAAATTACATAAAACTGCATGCATGTGGTGTCCAGAACTCTCATCAGATTTTCAAAAGGATCCCCAAAAGGATTAAGAATTAACTACTGTCATTTTCAGAAGAGGTGTTTTCTGCATTTGCATGACCCATTTCTGAAAGCCTGGGGTTAGGCTCCATGGTAGGAAGGTTGGGCTGGCTGGTGGGAAAGTTGGTTCTCCCCCTTTATGCAAAGACAGCCTCCCTTGCCAGCAGAGGCTGCAGGAGGTGACTTGCTGCAGAGGCTGGGGACTGGTGGGAGCTGTGGAGACTCCTGCTTTGTAGGTGGATGTAAAATAACGTAATGGGTGGAGGTTCACACTGGTTGCCAGATGTCTGGTCTTCCCATCTGGCATCTCTGTGCACCCTGGAATAGCTGTAGGCCTACTTGCATGCACCTGCAGCTGGCGTTCAACTACCCTCTTACTATCTTGAAGACCTTAAGCTCCTCAGAATGGAGGGGGCTGGACTATAGACACTATTGAAGCCTCTTTTGTTTTGAAGATTATTGTCTCTCTGGGCTTCTTGAGTTTGGCCCACCTCTCCCAAATAACCTGAAAAATGTAGGGCAGAATTTTTGGTTTAGCTGTTAACAGAGAGTTACCCTCTCTGGTGTCCTGTCTGATGAGGAATGCATATGACTCTTGCTGGAGCATGTCTTGATTTCCTTCTCATTTAAATTTCTATCTGTGCCATGCCCAGGGGTAGATTATTTTATAAAGGTGCCTGTTTTCCTTAAAGGGACTGTTGCTTTCCTTTCTGGTTTGTTTATTTCCAGACATGGATTGATTAGACCCCAGGAGCAGAGGGGGAGCTAGCATCAGATAAAAAGGGCTCTGTTCTTATAAGATGAGGTTTTTAAAGTGAAAGTGAACATCGAGAGAGAATCAGAGGGGGTGATAAATGAGAGTGAATGAAGACTGGACACCCAGGCTCTAGATCATGAAGTGTATTTGTAAACATTCTAGTTTGAGAGATGGACATGGATACAAGGTCTGTGCTTATCAGCACAGATAAGATGGGTTGAAACTGCATGTTCTGTGTGTACATTCATCAGGAAACAACTATCATTAGAATGAACTATTTCTACTCACTTTGCAGTCTTAGAACCTTGGAGGAGGCAATTTAGTGAGAACACAGAGAACATGGGTTCAAGTCTTAGCTCAACCATCAACTGTGACTTTGGGCAAGCCACCTCCTCTCCTTCCTGGACCTTACCTTTCCTTCTGTAAAATAGGGTGAGGGAGGAGAGAACAGGCTGGTCACATACACACTTGCTTCCAGACCTGGCCCCTAACTAGTTTGCCAAGCTAGTCAGAGACTCCTTAGCAGCTTGGGTCTTCCCAGCTGTTTTCAACATGTTTTAGTTCCATGATATCAGGGACAGTGGTGTGTTGTTGAAAATGGTGGTGGTGGTGGTGTTCACTGTTGTATCCCTAGCACCTAGTCAACAGAAGATATGCATATAATTGATTAAGGTAATTATTCCTATTACCTATTTGAACTTGAACTTTAGAGATGGCATTAAACAGTGACAGCTCCTGAGCTTGGAACCATGAAGAGTAAAGGGGTTGGTGAGACAGTAAAATGGCTTGCTAGCAGCCTTTCCTTTCAGATATGCTGATAATATAGAAAATTATAATTATATAGGGGACTTTAGCCATAGGTGTGTTTCTTACAGGTTCTAGTTCAACAGACTTTTCTCACTCATGATAACAGTTGGCAGTGTGTAGCCTGTCTGGGTTGCCTCCCAATGAAGGGATCACACTCTACTGGGTCCTGCTAAAAATCTTTGGCTGCTTATCTGGGGAACCTCAGTTGTCCCTTCCAGTGAAGGGGGCTTTTGTTACAGGGATTTGGGCAGGCTAGGGGAAGTGGGAACATAGTACTGGAGTGGGGCTGCTCCTATCTAGATGAAGAATGTGGTTTGACTTTCACTCCTACCTGTAGCCTCTCTTCGCAGTGCCCTTATGCACCACTGAATGTGGTAGCCCCACCAAGAATTCAAGCTAAGTCCTAGCCACGCCATCAACTCAGGCCTTAGTGGATAATTCCTATTCATCCCTGGGCCTCAGTTTTCATGGTGAAACTCAGAGACTGGCAATTATGAGACTCTTCTCTCTCCCTCACTCCTGCCTATTCACTGTTTTGTTTCTGAGCACCTCGAATAGGGCCTGATACCTAGTTGGAGTTCAGATACTTGAATGAGTGGCTATAGTAAAGATCTAGAAACTAAAAATTAAGATTGCTAGTGGCAGAGGCTGGGTCTTCTTCCTGAGGGTACCTGGAACTCTGAGAGTCTCAGAGTAGGGGTCACAGCAAGGTTTGGCGGCTAAGCAGCTCCATGTCCCAAGAGGCCTTTTAAAAGTTGCAGTAATTTTCCAAGTGCAAGTCTAACTTGAAGGGAGTGGAGAGGTGACAGGCATTAGTCAATCCTTTCCTGCCTGGCTAGCACGCATCTGGAGAATGCCTGGGTCGCCCTGGAGTGCCTGAGCCCTGGCAGGGAGCTCCCCCGCCCCGACTCTTGCTCTCTGTGCCTGCTGCGTTAAGTCTCCAGGACATTGCTGGTTATGATTTGTGACTATGTCTGAATAAGTCATCTTGGCAAATGATCTTTGCTCCCCATTAATGGGCTGGTTCGTTAGTCGTGTGTGGTTTCTCTGTATATCTGATTTATCGCCACTAGCGCCAGGGACAGGTAGGAAAATTGAAAGGCTTTGGGTTCAGATTCATGTGAATCTGAGCTTATGAGATGTTTAAGATAATTAATATTTGGATCACCTTAGATTTAAATAGCTCTCCTTTGAAGAGCTCTGTTTAAGTTGTAAATCCATTGAAGATCTATTTTTCCTTTGTCCTTCAGTTTCACTCTTGTACTGCTCTGTGATACTTTTAATGTAGATAGGAAGGCTGGTCTCTAATAATTGGTCAGGTCCCTTGGGAGACCCTTACCTCCTTAACTCAGGGACACACCTCATCCTTCCTTAGAACTGAGTATTGCGAGTGAAGCTTAGAACATGTCCTCACCAGGTGTAATACCTGCTGGTTGAGTGAATCTCACTTTCACTTTGCCTTATACCATCAGTTTAGGGACCCAGGTGCAGGCATTCCAGGAGCAACTGCTTCTCAGGCCTCACATCCTTAACTCTGTCTTTAATATTAAGGTCTAGAAACAAATAGTACAATGACTTTTAAAAGTCAGCTGCTTATTTCACACTGTAGTTAGCAGGGGGAGTAAGACTGTAGATTCCCCTGCGGTTTTCAAAGTGACTGATTTACATCCGAGCTCAAGAAATGCCTTTTCTCTAGCTTTCCCCGAAGACTGATCCATGACTCTACTAAAAATAAATATTGTGATATAAATCAGGCATACTTTGCTCAAAGGGACTTACATCTTTTCTCTTATTGAAAAAAATAAATCGGGCTTGCAGAGTGGAAAGCCCTGTGCAGGGAAGCTGTTTGG